TGGTTTTTAAACCAACAAAATTGATTTCACTGTGCTCTCCTGACACTGCCAGGGTAAATTTTGATTTACTCTTTTTTTTGTTTATTTTCTATTATTGGGTTAAATAAAGTATTTTAAAATAATTTTTAAAATCTAAACTAACTTTTAAACATAGAAATTTTAGATTTAATTAGTTAAAATGTCTAAAATAAATTGTTTCATTTTATGATTACATCATCTAATCAAATTGGTACAAAATGTTGCAATACAGATAAAAATAGTTAATATTACAGTTAAAATCTATCATATAAAACTTATATTATTTGTCAAAATGGCTGATGAAAAGTGTCTAATTTGTGCATGTTGCTTTATTTCCTTTGGAAAAGGATTATGTAAACAGCAGTATAACTTCATATTCAAAATTTATTTTGGGGAGAATATGATGTAGAAAAAAAGTGTGGTCCAAAAATATTTGTAGTTCTTGCAAAACAAATTTATATGCATTGAACAGGGGTGAAACATTGAACAGGGGCTGAAACATTAAAATTAAATGATTGGATTGAGAAAATATCTCAAATTAACAGACAAAAACTCAGAACATCATCTGGAAAACCTTTGGAAACAACCTTGTTGTTGTTGGCACACCTGATCATAAATGCAGCATCCATTAAAATGTCTATAATCCAAGTCTAAAATCTCTAGAAACTATGGAAATTTCTAATACTCTAAACCTGAGTAAAAGAAAAACTTCTTTGTAAACATATGCGACAAAACTTAGGGAAGAAAATGTTAGAACCTAATATATCAACTCAGATAGAGGAGTTGCATAACGTATTTTCAGATTTTTATGATGTCAAAACTGAATCATTCATTTCAGAAGATGAAGAGAAAAGTTACAGTTTGGTATTTGTAAAAGATACTTCTGATTTAATTCTTTGTATGATTAATGAAAGAGGTTTGAATTCTTATTGCACTATTGCTAGGATTTCCATTGATGGTTTTTCTTAAGGACAGGGTTGGTTTTTCTTAAGACAGGGTTTTCTTAAGGACAGGGATGGTTTTTCTTAAGACTGGCTTTTCTTAAATGCGTCATAAATTTTTTTGATCTACTATGTAAACATACAACTTCAGAAAGTCTTGATTATTCCGGTGTAAAAAAATCATTGGTTTTGGCTTAAAATGTGGTTACTATGGTAACTCTTTATTTGGTTTAAGCAGTCACAGCAGCAAGTATGCATGTCTCTGGTGTGAAGGAAAAAGTACTCTTAAGAGAGGAAAAAAAAGAACCTTAGGTTTAATTGATATCAACTACAACAAGTTCGTTGAAGATGGATGCAAAATAAATCACATGGTGGAATTTAAAAACTGTATTTCTCCTAGAATTGTGTATCTTGATGAACCTCTAGAAACCTTAGTAGAACATCTCATTCCTCCACCAGAGTTACACATTCCTCCACCACTGTTACACATTCCTCTACCAAAGTTACACATTCCTCCACCAGAGTTACACATTCGTATTGATATTACTTTTACGTTTGTAAAAACATTAATTACACTGTGGCCTGATTTTGATTTGTGGCTAAAGTCAAATTATATAATCTTTAGAGGTTACCGTGGAACTGGTTTGGATGGTAACAATTCACAGAGACTTTTAAATAAATTAGATAATTTAGAAGTTAACCTTCTAAGTGTAGCCTCTATACTACCAAATATGATATTTCTCCAACCTTAGCTGTCTTAGAAAGTTTTCAATTATTAAAACAAAAGCATGTTTACATTATTCATTTGTTAGTTACATTAAAAAATCTGCAGCTTCATCTGGCAGTCTCAGCACAGTGATTACATTATTCATTTGTTAGTTACATTAAAAAATCTGCAGCTTCATCTGGCGGTCTCAGCACAGTGATTACATTATTCATTTGTTAGTTACATTAAAAATCTGCAGCTTCATCTGGCAGTCTCAGCACAGTGATTACATTATTAATTTGTTAGTTACATTAAAACGCAATAAGATTATTTAAATATATTTATTGATAAATGTTTATTACTTTTTTTTATGTAAAAAAAGTAATAAACATTTATTAATTTTAATGCAATAAAAATAACAAATCTAGCATTTGTCAAAGTACCTTACTGCTTATGAGGAGCAACTCTAGAAAACAGTTTTTGTTGGAAATCATAAGTTTGAAAATTATTTTTCTAGTTTTTTTAAAAAAGAATTATATATGAAACTTGAAAAACTGCTTTAATGTTTTAAATTTTATAAACATAGTTTAATGTTTTGAATTTTATAAACATAGTTTAATGTTTTAAATTTTATAAACATAGTTTAATGTTTTAAATTTTATAAACATAGTTTAATGTTTTGAATTTTATAAACATAGTTTAATGTTTTGAATTTTATAAACATAGTTTAATCTTTTAAATTTTATAAAAATAGTTTGCATTGCAAACATTTTTATAAAATTTAAAAGATTAAACTATTACCAAAAGACAACATGCGTTGTTGTCTTTTGGTAATATTTCAAAAAAAAAGTACATCATTTATGGCCCAGATTACATGAAACCATGCAGATTTACTATAAATGTTATGATTTAAAAAAACACTCTGTAATGATTGTTATGCAAACAATTCTCTCTGAACAATAATTTCTAACAATCTTTCAGAATATCAATTAGCAATTGCGGAATAAGTAATACCCTTCATATAAAGAAAAAGAAAAATGTATATAAAAAAATTTTCTCAACAAAAATTCATAAAAAACAATAAAAATCAAACTTTAATAAAAATAAAACTGTAGTTAAAATTTCCTAGCATTAAATTTTCATTAAAAAAAAGTTTTTAAGAAATATTAGAATCAGATTTTTTAACTAGACTTTAATATTCGCTGTGCAAGCTTGTTGCTTCTGGAGTTCTGATAATTTAAAATATCATAAACAATTAAAATATAATACCTATTTCTTTTTCAAAGGTCATAGCTTGACCTGACTTTTTATAACCAAGGATATGTAGTGGCATCCTCATATCAACTGCGATTTGATGCAACTTACTTTGTAGGCATCATGATTAATCCAATCAATGTATATAGTTATTTACCTTAAACAAGTTTACTTTTTTTTAGCTTTTTGTGTTTGAGAAAATTTTTTTTACTTTCCACCGTTTTATTTTGGTCACATACCAAGTAACATCTAAAGAAAAAAAGTAAAATCTAAAGAAAATTTGAAAATGCAAGTTAGACTTTTGTATAGATAATTACTTTATTTCAATGTTTTTTGACACGTTAGCATTACAGTTATATAATGTAAAAAAAAAATATGTATAAAACCTATCCTTGAAAAGGCATTATTGCAAATTACCTCGGTTGCAACTAGCCCTGATCTCCCATAAAAAAAATTATTTAACATTCAGTTATACAAAAAATTCAGTTATACATAATCAGGCTCTTTCAAATTTTTGGATTTCAATAAGTGATCAAAATCTCTTGTTGAAACAACAAAAATAGTCATGATAGAATACTCGGTATTGATCTGCAAAAACAGGTTAATACCAATAAGCCCATCCAGTTTAAAAAAGCTTTAACTCTTATTTTAACTTTTCCATATTTTATTTAAATAAATGGCGTTATGAAAACCCATCTAAATCATACAAGCGTGGTGCATAAATCTTAAACTTTTACATTTATAATAAGTTATATGTGTGTGTAAGGAATGCGTAGATAATACATTTTCGAAACTTTGATTTATAAACTGTTTGTTTTTTTTAAAACAAAAATAAATGAAATGTTACTAAAAATAACAAACAACATTTACAAAAGTAAAATAAATAAAAAATGAATGGTGTTTACTAGTGACTATGTTTTTGGTACTATTTGATTTACTTATTAAAAACAACAGCACATTATAAGCCTGAGCATCAAAAATGTATTGTATAGAAAGTTTTTTTATTGTTATTAAATGATATTTTCGTTTTATGTGTATAAATTTTAGTAAATAAAGTCACTAGTGAACAATGTTCTCAGCAGAATCTATGTGCATTAACTAACTTAAATAGAGAGCTTGGCATAGTGAGTGTAGGCATATTGACCAAGGGTTTTAGTACTATTTGACTTATTTTTTAAGAAAAAATCTGTCTGAATATCAAAAATATCTTGTTGTATTTATTTATATATATATATATATATATATATATATATATATATATATATATATATATATATATATATATATATATATATATATATATATATATATATATATATATATATATAAATCCTGCTTATCTATTTAATGTTTTTTACTTCGTTGGAATATTGGATAGGCTCTAAAAGTTTAACATTGAACGTCCACCTAACTGGGATTTATAGGAATAAATGCAGTGGAGTTTTCAGTTGGCATTATTTGATTTTACATTACATAAAGTAGTACATGCATCAACTTAAATATGGATAGACGCAGTGAGTGTATATATATTGACTAAGGGTTTTGGTTTGGGCAGGTAGTCTTGCAAATGAAAGGATCATTTTTTTTTATGTTTGCAAACCTGAAAAACACTGTCAGAATAGGAGTTTGATAAGAGAGTCTACCGGAATATTAAGTTCTATTATATTAAGAAAAATTAATAGCATATGGTAGTCTTGCAAATGAAAGGATCATTTTTTTTTATGTTTGCAAACCTGAAAAACACTGTCAGAATAGGAGTTTGATAAGAGAGTCTACCGGAATATTAAGTTAGTAAATACAGATCTTTTTTGTTAAATTGTTTATAATATATCTTGGTTCTTGTGATAGTGTTGCACGCAACCTTAACTATTTTGATAGTGTTGCACGCAATGCAATTTTCTTTTATTATACAGCTGTTGTTATGCATTGTTAGTCATTAATTAGTGGATTAGTTTATATTTATTGTTAATGATTTTTATTTTAATAAATAATTTTAAGGAATTTTTATTTTTTTGCATTATAATTTTTTATTTTTTTGCATTATAATTTTTTATTTTATCTTATTATAATTTTTTTTTAAGGACATTATAGAGAGCTTCAATATTAGCACAAACTTGTGGTCTGGAAGGTTGCTTTTTTTTTTTTTTTTGTGTGTGTGTGTGTTTAAACATGTTACAGATTTAATTTGCAAAAAATACTGACAAAAATGTTGTTTTACAGGTATATTTTTCGCCGACTTCGTTTTATGAGAAATAAACTTGCTTCACATGTTTTAACATTATTTTTCCTTGCTGTTTGGCATGGTTTTTACATAGGATACTTCATTATGTTTGCAATGGAGTTTTTAAGTGTTATTATGGAAAGACAAGTATAATTTATGTTATTTAATTGTATTTTTTATAATATATATATATATATATATATATATATATATATATATATATATATATATATATATATATATATATATATATATATATATATAATTTATATATATATAATTTATATATATATAATTTATTTATATATATATATATATATATATATATATATATATATATATATATATATATATATATATATAATTTATATATATATAATTTATATATATATAATTTATTTATATATATATATATATATATATATATATATATATATATATATATATATATATATATAATTTATATATATATATATATATAAACCTCCTCTTCCACCTCTTTTGTACGGCTCAGACTTTGTCACCTCACCTAAAGACAAAGCTAAATTGTTTGCCAAGAACTTTTCATCAATATCATCTCTTGATTCCACTAGTTGCGTTCTACTGATATAGCCGTCAAACAGGTTGATCCACTGCTCGACATCCGTATCATTCCAGCTTCTGTATCTAAAGTGATTTCCTGCTTAGACTCTTCTACAGATTGCGGCCCGGACAACATACTTGTTACAGCCTGGACAACATACCTGTTAAAGTCTTGCAGAAGTGTTCTCCAGAGCTGTCATTTATTTTTAAAAATTCTGGAGAGCGATCTGATTCGTCTAACTACCGTCCCATTAGTCTTCTTCCTATCATAAGCAAGGTTTTTGAATCTTTAATTAACAAACACTTAATCTCGAATCTCGAATCTCATAACCTACTTTCTGATCATCAATATGGATTTCGATCTTCTCGTTCTACAGCTGATTTGCTAACAGTAATAACCGATAGGTTTTATCGCGCATTAGATAAAGGTGGAGAGGTTAAGGCCATCGCTCTTGACATTTCTAAAGCGTTTGATAAATATTGGCATGCTGGTCTTCTCCATAAGCTTTCTTCTTACGAAGTATCTGAAAACATCTTTAAGATTATCGAATCCTTCCTTTCCAATCGTAGTATAAAAATTGTCCTTGATGGACAGCACTCTTCTTCTTATTCTGTAACCTCAGGGGTTCCTCAAGGTTCAATCCTTGGCCCTATACTCTTTTTAATTTACATTAACGATCTTCCAGATTTTCTCACATCTAAGGTGGCATTGTTCGCTGATGATACTACCATTTATTCTTGTCACGATAAGAAGCCAACTCCCTCTGGTTGTTTGCAGGGGGCATCAGAGCTCGAAAAGGATCTCACTTCTGCTACAGCATGGGGCTCACAGTGGCTGGTGAACTTTAATTCAGATAAAACTCAATTTTTTTCAGCCAATCGTTATCGCAATAATTTAGACCTTCCTATATTTATAAACGGTAATGTACTCGATGAGTCTCCTACCCTTCATCTTCTAGGATTAACTCTTACTTCTGATCTTTCTTGGAAACCTTATATCAAATCTGTTGCAAGATTAGCGTCTGCTAAAGTCGCTTCTCTTTATCGAGCTCGTCACTTTCTTACTCTGGATTCTATTCTCTATCTCTATAAATCTCAAATCCGGCCTTGTATGGAATACTGTTGCCATATCTGGGGTGGATCTTCTAATGATGCCCTTTCTCTTTTAGACAAGGTGGAAAAACGCATTGTAAACATAGTTGGACCTACTCTTGCAGCCAACCTTCAACCTCTGTCACATTGTCGTAATGTTGCTTCTCTTTCTCTTTTCTACAAATACTACAATGGGCACTGCTCTAAAGAGCTAGCGTCTCTTGTGCCATCCACAAAAATTCATTCTCGTGTTACTCGTCATTCAATTAAGTCTCATCCTTTTTCTGTTACTGTTCCTAAGTGCTCCAAAAACTCTTATTCGTCTAGTTTTTTTCCTCGAACATCAGTTCTTATTCGCTTCCTTCATCTTGCTTTCCTGATTCATATAATTTGCAATCTTTTAAGTCGTCTGTCAATCGTTATCTTGCTCTACAATCTTCATCTTTTCTCTTCCAGTAACTTCCAACACTAATTAGTGGTTGCTTGCAGCCTTGTTGGAAGCGAAGATGTTAAAAAATATATATATATATATATATATATATATATATATATATATATTTATATATATTTATATATATATATATATATATATATACATATATATATATATATATATATATATATATATATATATATATATATATATATATATATATATATATATATATATATATATATATATATATATATATATATATATAATTTATATATATATATATAATTTATATATATATATATAATTTATATATATATATATAATTTATATATATATATATATAAATTTTATATATATATATATATATGTATATATATACATATATATATATATATATATATATATATATATATATATATATATATATATATATGTATATGTATATATATATATAATTTATATATATATATATATATAATTTATATATATATATATATATATATATATATATATATATATATATATATATATATATATATATATGTATATGTATATATATATATAATTTATATATATATATATATAATTTATATATATATATATATAATATATATATATATATATATATATAAAATTTATATATATATATATATATAAAATTTATATATATATTGTTAGCTCCTTATTTTCTTACTTTGATTTAAATCATTTTTCAATATTCAGGTATGCAGTGTTTTTAAAAAGTTGTGTGGCTATTCATATAATGAGTTACCAATTTTATTAAAAACTGTTGTTCAATTATCTGGTGCAATAATGAAGTTTTATATGTGCGGCTTTTTTGCTATGTCATTTATTTTGCTTAGGTGGAGAAGAATCAAAGTGGTTAGTTTTATTACCATTTGCGTAATGGAAAATCAATAACTTTATTGATTGAAAATTTCTCAATTCAAAATTATAAATTTTTCAATTTAAAATTATAAATTTTTCTGGCCAATTATAATGTGACATTTGTACGTACATTGACTGACAGCTTAGTGCATTATCTTTTTATTGTATTGTTCTTTATTATGTTGTACTTATTATTGTTTAGGTTTATGAAGACGTCTATTATTGGCCACTTATAATTATTGGTGTATGGTTTGCATGTGCACATCCAATTTTTTTGGTGTTGTCTAAAATTATAAAGAAACAGTATGGTTTTATTGTCTGATATTTTTATTGTCTATAAATGTTTATTGTCTATAAATGTTGTGTACAAGAATCTCAAAGATGTGATCTTTTTGTTGAGTTCAAGAATTTCAAATATTTGATTAATTTCTAATCAAGTGTGAATCTTAAATGTATTATTTTTCTAAAATAGGTTCAAGAAAGAAAAAAAAGAATGAATTAGAGTAAATCTTTGGTAACAGATCTTTTAGCAATTGTTATAAATTCATGTCAAGTTTTTAAAATTTATAAATTATATAGTTTTGATATAAAAATAATAATGAGTTTTAGATATTAAATATATAATCTCTTTTTTTAATTTTAGAATAGATGTTTTAATTAAACTTCTTAATTATAAAATAATTTTTCATTTTATGTTATTAATAATACTAAAATTTTTAAAAACATACGTCTTTTTTTTACATACCACATATTCTTTATAAATTGTTTGAAAGTTTTAAAAAATTAGGATTTTATTAATTTATAGTTTTTAAAAGTAAAAATAGAAAATTTTATTAGGTTATTTTAATATTTATAACACTTTTTTGAACTTAGAACTAATATTTAGAATAAGTTTTTAAGATTTTAATTTGTAACTATTAAAATTGCATTTTTATATTATTACGGATTTTAAATATTTATTACTTTTTTTAAATATTTGTAACATTTTTAGTACTTGGTTTTTAATACCTGTAAGATACTGATAATTATTACACGAAGTTGTGTTGAAAACTCCTGTTACCAAAGGAATAATATAAACATTAACAGTTTTAAATTTTGTCAAAACTGTGTATTTTTTCAACACAATCACCTTGAATATTTTTAATTTTTCAAATTTTTTTGTTTCAAGTAATAATGCCCCAAACTAGTGACGGTTATAAACTACAATTATGAAGCAACAATCCAATAGTATGATGGATTTAACAATACTGGGGTTCCGAGACAAACTTAATATGAAACCCCTAACGTTTTTTACCCTACTTTTTATTAATTAGTATGAATTTGTACATACAAATTTCTTATGTATAATATTTTGGCTATTTTGTATTGTTTTATTGCTAAAATAAATGCACGGCCATAATAGATTAAAATTTCTAATGTCAAAAAATCAATTGTTGACTTGCGTGGTTTTGAAGAACAATGTGCAAGTTTACTATTTTTTTAATTTTTTTTTTTTATATACTCATAGATTCTTATTCCAAAACTCATGGGTATATAGTTTTTAGATTATTTTATATTGCATTTACCGTTGTTGTTTTTTCATATTACTTCTTCAAAAACAGCTTTATATAATTGGGCATGGTTGTTTTTTGACTATTTGTAGTGAGTTCCTGTTTAATGCGCTAATTTTAAAACTAATTATTGTAGCTAAATCTTAAAAAGTGATTCTGAGTTTATCTGCTAATACATAAATTACGTTTTAAATAATTAACGAATAATTAATAAATAATGCTTTTCTTTATTTTTTTTATTTTATATCATTTTGAATTTGTTTTATTTTGCCGTTGATTTTTATTCTACATGTTTGGTATTTAATACTTGTAATATATCTTTGTTTAACAAAAAATTTTGTATTTCATTTTATGTATTGTTTATTTTATATTTGCCATTAATTTATTATAATTAGTGTTTCATTTCTATTAGTCCGGACAAACTATCTAAATTTTCTTTGTTCGAGAACTAATTTTCCTTTATCATTGTTTATTTAATTTTCTCAGAGGCATTTACTGTTCGTGAGAGACAATTAAGCGAAATTATATATTTCCACTTATCTAAAAATAATTATTTTAAACCTCAACCTAATATTTTAGCCGTTTATAGTTTGTTTGTCAAAAAAGTATTTCTTACGACGCAGTTTGAAAGCATCAAAAGCGCAATATGCTGATTATGGTCTTCCGCAGTATTTGATTTTTCTTGACTCCAAAATTAACAGATCTGCTTATGAACTCTACTGAATATGTGAAAAATGGCTTCATCAGAAGAAAAAAAATCAAGTTTTCCAAAGTATGGTCCTCCAAGAGCGGCAGCATATCTTTGGTTGTTTGGGCTTTAGGTTCTTCAAAATCTTCCTCAAATAATTTCTGGTTTATTTAGATTTTATATGAGTTAAAAAACATTTGTGAATGTAAAAAATTATGATTAGTCCCTCTGGATAAATTTACTTCGGCAAAATGCTTGGTTACTGTTGTCTTGTCGGCCACAAAAACTACTTATCTTTTGTGTATTTTCATCCCTTTTTCGTGGTCGTCTGCTTTGATCTCAGTCTTCAACTGATCCATTCTTAAGAAAACTGTAATACATTGTAGTTATTGTCTTTGATATGGTATTTCTGCATTTTCTCACTTCAGTCATCTCATAACCTCAACCACACTCTCAAATTCTGCCATTAATACAACAAATCATACTCTGAGGTTTAAACCCAAAATGATTACTATTTCTGCATAATATAATATTATATCAGATATATTGACTAATTTTTTATCTTATATTTTTAAGTTTACTTTAATGCATAAACTTTCTAAACGCATAGTAGAATAACTACAAAATATGGGGGGGGGGACTAGATTTAACAATATCCTCAAACAACTTTAAACTGAGGATAGTGGTAAGATTTTAGAGAAATCTCTTTAAGTAACAAATCATTCAAGTCTTTTTGAAAAAATCTGATTTTGTTATGGAAGATTCAGAACTTTCTATTGATGAGCTTCGTTTAGCTTTTAACACGTTTCAAACGAATAAAATCGCTGGTCTTGATAATGTTAGTGTGAATGTTTTAAAAGTCTATGATATTATAGTATCATTACTTTTCATTATATTAAATCTTTCCTTAAAAAAATGGAGTCTTTCCTGTTCAATTAAAATTTGCTAAAATAATTCCTATTTATCAAAACGGCGACGATTCAATAGAAACTAACTACAGGCCAGTCTCAATACTTTCCTGTTTTTCAAAGCTTCTTGAGCGTGTAGTGTACAATATAATAAACAATTACCTTGACAAAAATATTATTTCATAAACTATTTGAATTTAGAAAAAATCATTGCACTGAGGATGAAGTAGTTGATTTGGCTAACAGTATTATAATAGAATTTGATAACAACAACTATACACTGGAAGTTTTTGTAGGTTATCAAAGACATTAGACACTGTCGATCATGTAATCCTTCTTTAAAAATTGCATAACTACAAAAATTTGAATTTGAATTGAAATTATGATACTAGTTCAGTGAGATTTACTAGTTCAGTGTTTAAATCTAATAAGATTTCCTTAAATAATGATCAAACAAAATAAATTTTGTTCACAAAATCCTCAAAATCTGATATCTTACCCTTTAAACTTCCAAATTTATTTATAAACAATGTTAAAATAAAACAAGTTTATTCAATGAAAATTTTGTGTATATTATTTGATGAACATTTAAATTGGAAAAATCATTCTAAATTGTTAAAATTATAATTATATAATTTACTAAATTTTAAAATTAGTATCAATAGTGCAACTGCAGCTCATTGCGAATACCGCAACCAGAAAAAGCAATCTATTTATTCCAAAGCCTGGTGGACTCCCGATTTAAGCTAAAATAAAAAGATTCTGTCGTATCGATACGACAGAATCTTTTTATTTTGGCTTAAATCGGGAGAATACGACAGAATCTTTTTATTTTGGCTTAAAGCTGCATTTTTTCGAAAATGGAGAGATACCGGGTTTCCAAAATATTCTAATTCTATGACTTATAATATGTATTAAAAAGCTCAAAAAAGCTTCAGAAGAGTTTATTTTCAGGCAGAAAAAGCCTTTGATAGCTGTAACTGGGAAATCTTTTTTGATAAATTGTATTTCGGTAAAAAACTACCTTTGCGTATAGTTAGGAAAATCTTTTCATTACTATAATAGCAGTGCAACTGTCTCATACCAAGGTTACAAATCAAATGAGTTTTATCTTAAGAAAGGAGTAATACAGGGTTCAATTCTATCACCGCACCTTTATGATATTTATACCCAGGACCTTCTTGAAACTATTAAAAATGAAAGTAATGTAGGTACGTCTATATAAGGTAACTTCACTGGTGTGCTAGCGTATGCTGATGATATTATACTTTTAAGCTCAACTTTATCTGGTCTGGAAAAATTAATAAAAACTTGTAATGTATACTGCAATTCAAATTGCATAAAACTAAACCCTGATAAAACTGAGTTCCTCCTGACAGGTAAAAGACAGTTACAAAGCTGCACAATATCTCTCGATGGTTATCAAATAAATTTACACAGACTCAAACACTTAGGGTTTACATGGGTTACAGCGCACTCAATTACATGGGTTACATTTGCCTCAATTGATTGGGTAAACATTGCTGAAAAAATATTTAATTTTCGGACAGATATCCAAACTCTTGTTCAATCTGGAATCCGTTTTGCTCATCCAAAATCACACAATTATATCAAACCTTGATAGTACCAACATTAAGTAACGGTCTGGAACTTTGTATAACCAATGGCATAACAATGCAAAACTTAGATAGAATCGGAAGGAGCGCATTAAAATTGGTTTTCAACCTTTCAAAAAATTGCAAAAATTATTTACACTCGTTATTTAAAGTTCGGGACATACAAAAGTGCATTCACCGGAATAAACTTATTTATTTGTCTTTTGTATAACAAATCCACGAATGGTATTATTTATTTTCAGCTTAGCAATCCCACGGTCAAATAATATTTTGTAGATGATGTCCAGCATGTGTGCCATACTATTAGACTAAGCTTTGAAAAGTTAAGGAATGTAAAAAATAGAACACGTTTTTCTGGTGGTGGGGAATAAAATCTCGAAAGATATTGAGAAACCATTAAAATACTCATTAGATTGGTGGAACATAAAAAAACAGAGAAACATTTTCAAGCAAACTCTAGAAGAAAACATGCCAAAATGCCAAAATTTACCTTGTAAAAATATTTAAAGTAGGTGATTAAGAAAAAGGAAAAATAAAATAAAATAAAACCTCTTTAACTTTGAGAATCATGTTCAAAACGAAGCACCTATTGTATAATAAGTGCCTAAAATGTTTAAATTTTTCACTTATCCAGAGCTATATTAGTTATAATATAGCTTGGAAAGTAATCAGCCGTTTTTTATTTAAAAAAATTCATAGCAAACAAAATTTAGCGACACAGTTAACTTGTAATGCAAACAGATATGCATACGCCAAGCCTTTACTTAAAGAAATGAATGTTTTAAATGTATAACTTATTTTTTATGTTAAAACTTCACAATAACATGCTTCCATCATATTTTGAGCCACATTTCTCTTAACAAAAC